TGGTGGTGAGGAACAAGACACCGCTTTCATCGCAGATGTAATAGTGACCTGCTTCCTGTTAAAATATGGGACTGTTGAAACTCTTATAACTGGGGCTGTAAGAGCAGAGGCACCCTTATCAATAAATATGGTAGGCAACTGACTTACATACGTATCTTGGTAGAAACGCTTCCTTGGCGGGGAAACATTGATCTGCCTCTGTCCTCAAAGGCAATGGGGAAGAAGTAAGTTCTGGTCCAGAAGCTGTGCAGTAGGACAGGGCAGGGGGCAATGTGGAAAAGGAAGGGAGAAGTGTCCCACCCTTCTGCTTTACAGGCTAGGATGGGCCCTTGACTCCCTGATTTCAATCTAACCTGCCCTTTTTGAATCTGGTGGCTGACTCTTGGTGTTCTCTTCAGATCCCCAGTCTGGAGTCTGCAATAGCATGAGGATTTCTGCCTTCATTAAAACTTTGTGAGTCTTCAGTTCTGAAGAAGAACTTGAGGGCATGAGTAGAACAGTGACCCAAGCTACTGGCCATATTTTATTCAGTAAATGGCACAGCTTGTATATTGGATTTCCTGCCGAAAAATAGTGCTGTGCCTTTCCTAGAGGAAGACTTGCTAGGTTTCTCAAGGGATAAGGAAGAGTTGCCTAAGATTATGGCAGAAGAGTGACTAAGAGTCTCAAACTGGCAGTTGTTGCCACCCAAATGCAGGGATCAGTGGATGCTGAGGGACAAGGGACATAATCCATGGGGCACGGCATAATTCTGTCAATCCAAGAGTATTGAATGGGTTGCTGGCTATTTAATTCCCCTCTGAAGGGAGAAGAAGGGGAAAAAGTGCCCTATGGCTCATGTGCAGCTATGCTCTCTGCTGCAGAGGCAGCTCTTGGCAATGAATAATATTTACCTCCTTTCATCTAATTCTAATGCTTCCTGGGCAGTCTTGGAGCTGTTTGTCTGGAGAGCAGGCAGCAGTTCTTATTTCTTTTAAATGGCTGCTCTGTGACCGGCCACATTAAGACTGAAGCCATCTGCTTCATTTGTTGAGCTACAGGCAGATCTCTATGGTTTCCTATCCCCTACGTGGTGCTTGTCATGTCCAAAACATTCATTTGCTTATGTAATAATCTTTTCCCTTCTCACCTTTATACATGGTGTCTTAAAAATCCATCCAAACCGAAAAAGAACTGTCTGCAGTTAAGTGTCTTGATTGTACAGCACCTCGTGGGGACAGACCTACCCTGATGGACAGCTCTGAACCAGAAGATGTCCATGTGATGCTGGACTCCCCACAGGAGGAACTGCCTGGACTCTAATCATCAGCAGCTCATCAAGTGCAGTGCATGGGACTTGCTCAGAGCTAGCTTGAGACCTCTGTGCACCAGCACAGTGCTGGTGCTCTGTGCACAAAAACACAGGCAGCAGTGCCCTGCTGGCAACCTTGGCCGACCTGAGGATCCCTTGGCTCCTTGCAAAGAGCAGACAGCAGATGCCAGCAAACCTTAGGGGAGGTGGCTGGTTAAGTTTTCTGGACAAGTGGGCTCTGTGGGCTGCTGGTAGCACAGCAAGGCTGCCGAGATCTTGGATGGCAAAGTATTACCAAGCTACTGGAATAGCACAGGGAGAGGTAGCAACTGTACAGATGAGTACAGACCTCGGAAGCTCTTCTAAAGGTCTGCTGACTCTTTGAAATAAGAATAGCAGTAGCATAACGTGCTTGGAGACTTTCCATCCTGAAGCTGAGAGCTGTCATCTTGGTTTGAGTAGGAGTGCCATGGACAGACAAGGCAGGCTGCTCACTTAGGACACAGGGCAAAAGCATCACGGAGGCCTGAAACTCTTACGCATCCCAGGTACCTGTCTCAGTCCTGGCGATGATTATATGTTGGTTTTGGTGGGAAGGATCATGGGCGAGTGCTGTATGTAACATCCCAGCTCCGTCTTCTGTACGGTGGGAAAGGGATGTTTTTGTAAGCATTTCCTATGAAGCTGGAGAAAGTTCTCCTACTTGGGGTGCTTAACCGAAATGCAGGCAGGCACGTTTCTGTGCCTGCTCTGCCTGGAGCTCTGCCGAAAAGGCATGTGAAAGTCGTACTTGAATGCCCTGGTCCCCGGGCAAGAGGCCAGAGAGAAATGAGTGATCATCTTGCAAGATGTGCTTTAGGAGTCTGCCGAGGTGGTGTCCAGCGGGATATTACATCCTCTGTCTACTGGGTGGTTGGGCAGGCTGAAAGAACCCCAAATACTTTGTATGTGCATCTTGTTTGTTTCAGCATCAAAATTACACAAGAGAGGCCTCCAGAGCTCAAGGCAGTGGCATCTCTTAATGAGGGATGAGAGTTTGAAGGGCTGTGGTGATTCACCTGCTATCCTTTAGGATAAAAAAACAGTCTTTCCTTAATCAACACTAACAGACAATCTCTTTAAATGGGAAATATCTGATCCCTGGTAATTTTTTTTTCCTTTCTTTATTTGCTTGCTACACAGTCTCTGAACAGTCTTTAAACCTGAGCTACATCTGTGTCCAATGCTCCTGTGATGCTGATAACGCTTCTCTGCTTTACTTCCCCTCAGCCCGACTATGTGTGTGTGTGTGTGTGTAAACAGAGGAGCAGCAAATATGACTTTCTGCCACAGGGCTCTGTGGCAGTTTAGGACATAAACCTAGCTGAGCTCTCAGTTCTCTCTCTTAGTTGCATGACTGTCTTTCCACATAATAAATTACCAATGTTTATTGGTCTTTTGACATATAGCTTTCTCAAGGGAAAGGAAGGAGACTGGCTGAACAAAGCCTTCTCTATAATCATAGTTTGCAGTAGGCTTTGGACAAAAATTGCATTTGCTGGCCGGTACTGTCTCAGTTATAGTTAGGATTTTATGTCTCTATAACTTTGTTTATGCCAGCCAGGAGACCTGAGAGATGCTGAACAATATACCTTAGACTGTATTAATGCATTGGACTGTATTAAGAGCTTAATGCATGTAATATATGACGGTATTTGCATGTCAGGAGCAGATGAGAAACCAATGTGTTCCTGGAAATGCGTCACTGAATGCTGTCTTAGATGGCTATGTCTCCTGCTGAGGTATAGGGCTGTCACCGCTACTCATGCTCCCATGGCTTGAAATTTGGCAGGTAACCTCTGAGTCTTGCTAATCTCTCTGGGCCGTATGTGCCTTTATGCTAGCGCTGGAAATGTGCTGAGACTTGGAGCTGTTAAAAACTGCTGCTGTCAGGGCTTTGTGTGCCCCAGTTTCTTTTCAGCTGCCTGCAATGAGCCAGCAACATCTGATAAACTACCTGCGTGCCACCTTAGCGGCACCAGTGCCACGTGCAGTGTGAGGCGTCCCGTGTGAGCTCACCAACAAATGCTAGCTGCACCCTGTGCTCTGGGTGAAGTGAAATGCAATTGTGTAAAATGAACTGGATCTTCTGTTGATGTAAGATTGATAGTTCTTGCTGCTTGGTTTCAGTTGTACTATATCACCGTGAACTGAAACAGCTAGGTGCTTTAGTGGAAAAATTTTCAATAACACACCTCTGGGACTTGAGTTATACAGCCTAAGCTGGTGGGTAACCCTATTAAGTTGTTTCTATGTTTGGTCACATGAATTTCTTTCTCTGAAAGGTTTTTCTCATGCAGGAAGGTGTACAGAATAGCTTGGGAAGAAGACTTCTGACTCCTTATTAAAAGATGTCTCAGTTTTCCTGATTATATGGAAAATTTGAATCTCCTGAGGTGGAAAGTCCTGTAGGGTCTATCTTGTATGAATGCCAGTGGTTCCACTTCACTGTTGGCTGCAGTAACCGGGATGACTGGACTCCATCCCAGCTGGGGTGAGAAGTAGCTGAAGGCCCATAGCTCTTCTCTCCTGTAGACTATCCTTGTCAGCAAGTAGGCAGCTATCAGGTAGGTGATCCAACACAAAGACTTGGGGTGAGAGCCTCCACTTGCATAGTAAGGGTTAGAAATGTCCTTTGGTGGAGGAATAGGAATTACTTGATGAAATTCTTCCTGTCATGGCTTCCTGTTCTTCTCTGCTGATATAATCCTTGCATCTCTGGCCTGTTGCACCAGGGGAGCAGGTGGTTCTCATACAGGTCTTGGTCAGGAAAGACAGCTCTGTCCACTAGTGTGGTTGAGCTGGTTGTTGAGCTGATGTTTCTGTCACCTCAATGGCTTTGTACCTGCCTCTCTTCCCCTCCTTGAGGCTGATTTTGAGAGAGGCTCTCTAAAGGCACCTGACCTCCCATCTACGCACTGGCTCTTCAGAAAGACACCTCTCTTCTCCGTGCAGTGTGGCGCAGAAGTAAGGCAGGCCCTGTGGAATGAGTCTGGTGGGAAATGGTGCTGGCAGGAAAGATGAACTTCAGAGACCGCTGCCAGTGCTGACTTTGTTTACTACTAGACTGGGTAGTTGCTGTCTTGGTGCCCGGGCAGAGAGATGATTCCCACTGCATTGCAAGGAGCCGACATAGAGCAGCCCGCATCTGGAAAAGGCGTTGCTACAGAAGTTTTGGCAGGGTCTTGCTAGTCTCCTGCACTTGCAGAGCAGCAATAGCAGCTGCCTCTCCTGACTGAGGAGGGAGAAGTAGGTCAGGATTTGCATTCTTTGCCCAGCTTCTCTGCATTACATATACTGGGGGTTTTGAGCTCCTCTTTTTAAACAAGCTGTTCCTGTACGTGTGTGTTGCTCAGGCTCCCCTGAATCAGAGGGTGAAGACTTGAATTCAGGTGTATAATTGGGCTTTAATATCTGCCTGCCTTTTGAAGGCACTTCTGAAAGACTCTTCAAACTCCCAAAGGCCAATCCTGGCATGTAAAACCTGAGATGAATGCTTGCGGCAGTGTCTTTTTTACTGTTGTATCATCTCGGTCAGGATTTAGACCATCTCCTGTAGAGTTTTTTACATGGCAAGAGGAGGTAATTGGGATGAATTCATCTCTGCTGCAGACGTGATGGTGAGATTTCTTTTTGGCGCTTTACTGTGCGCATTTTGCTGGTTCGTAGTGCCCTAGCGGGGAGAAAGAGCTATCAACTGCAACGGGCTTGCAGTGATTGGAGAAACATCTGACGATACTGAGGTGCTGCAGGGCAGTCGAAGGATCGTTTTCTCGTTGGCCACAAAAGCATGATGAAAAGAGCTTTGTTGCAACAGCACTCTGAAATGCAGTAATGCCAGGTGAGATCTTGCATGATGAGGTCTCTCACATTGAGGCTCAAATGGGACAGGGGTTGCTTCATGGGCTGTCTTGGGAGGGGACCATCTTTGCGTGATGTTGTAGGATTTTAGGGGCCAAATGGCACTGTTGGCTGGCGTTTCTCTCTCCAGAGATCTGCAAGAAACTGCTGTGATCGGTCGGAGCTACCCTGGTATCGTAACAGCAGGTTGTTTTGTGGGCTTGGGAGCGGAGGTTCCCTCTCTTTTAGGATTTGTAGCTCTTGTTGCCGTTTCTTGTCTTTAGCTGAAAACAAGGCTCAGTTTCCTGGGCAATTCAACATCTGTAAGAGGCTTCTCAGTAATTTGGTTAAAAAAGGATGGTAACATAATTTCCTGAAATCGAGTGCTCAGATAGGTGATTTTTCTTAGGGAAGGGTTTCGACCTGTGTTTCAGCCTGCAGTAGAAAGAAAAATCTGCTGTGCAATTCTAGTTGTTCTTCGATTGTGTGTGTTTTTTTGTTGTTGTGGGTTTTTGTGGTCAGATGCTCTAGAAGCCTACTTACTACTTTTGTCAGTCTGAAATACAGAACAAATTGCTGCGTGATCTTAAGACAGGTATATGGGCAAAAGTGACAAACTATATTGATGCGACACAATCAAGATTGTTTTCATTAGTAGATTTACATTATGCTTTGTGAGTACAAGATAATACTCCACTGAGGATTTGGCTAGATGTGTATATACGCTATCAAAAAAAAAGTGCAAAAGCTGACTCATTTTACACTACCAAATAAAGAAGAAAGCAAAAGCTGACTCATGTGCTTTTTCCAAGGAAGCTTCCAGGTGGCTTATCTGGCCTATCTGCTTTGCGCTAGTGGAACTGCAACCTGAATCTTTCTAAGGTCTGTGCAAAGAGTAGGCAACAGTGCGTCCATCCCTGTCTGGGGCTCCTCTGCTAGCATATAACTGGTGCCACAGAGCATCAGTAGCTTTACAGGACTTCTCAATACAGGAATGAACACTCGGGAGTTAAACTTTTCCATATCCTGCCCTACTGTTGATCTCTCTCCTTGGAGTTTTTGCGCGTTCAGACATTGGTAATAGGAAGGCTGCCTGAAAGTAAGTATAAGATGGTCTTTTTTTTTCCTTTTAAAGTGTTGGAAGATTTAAGTATAGGTTTGAGTATTGCAATAACTGTAGTGAAAGCACCCTTGGTTTCTGTTTGTTCCCTCTGTTACCTGCCGTCCCACCTGCTGCTCGCATTTGCCCACGTGGATGTCCTGTTGTTCCCTCTGACTATTACTCTTTTAATTGTGCTGTTGTGTTTTAAAAGCCATGTGTCTACCTGCTGAGAACCGCTTTTCAGGGTTGCATGGCACGTGGGCGTACGAAAGATTATCTGGAGCGGAGAGGTGTTGCAAAAAGGCACTATTGTCTTTCTGCTCAAAATACGCTCCGAAACAAAACACATCCTGTGCGTGTGTGTGTGCACGAGTGCAGCTGATCCTCCCCACCCAGGGCATTGAACTATCACGATGTGCGTAGACTTGTAAAGGCAACCGGGTTTTGTGGCTGCGATACGCCTCCTCCTCCTCGCGTTTCTGTTCCCAGAAAACAGAGGGGGGAATTGCATGCTGAGTCCGCAACTGTGGGATGCGGCTCTGGTCCCTAGGTGATGCGGTGGTCAAAGGACAGCAGTGCGAAGGTGGTGGCACTCCTTGTGCCACGTCCCTGCCTTATCCAAGGAGTTTCTGTGTTGTGTTGCATCCGCCCAGAGGCGAAGGCAAGGGCATGGTGGAAAGAAACCGCTGTTATCCTGAATTCTTAGAAACGTCTCGCTTCTGTCCGTTCTGTTGCTGATGCTGAAGTGATATTTGTACTTGCGACATGTGGCTCTGTGAACAGCCCGTTCAACGGGCTTGCTGCAGAGAGCTGCTTGTCAGCTCCTAAATGTGCTTATGAATCTGCCAGTGTCTTCCTAGATCTGAAATATCTCTGCTGTGTTGCCTGGATAGAGACTAGCCAAGTGTTTGAACTGCCGTGCGGGTGAAGTCTTGGCCACCTCCTGCTCCCAATTTCCCTGGGAGGTTCCAAATCCTGTTAGTTAAAACATCTTGTGAATAAAATTTCGAAGCCCAACAAGACTAAAACATGTAACGAGTTTCTTCTGCCCCTAGAACCTGTGTATGCGTGTCTTGTTGTTGTTTTTTCTTTTTTGGCACAGGAAATCAATGCGGCGCTTCGGCTTTCTTGTGCAACCCCCTTTTGTAGGTAGCTGGATGATGAATTGGTACCGGTTCAGTTTCTGCTAGGCAATAACTGCAGATGGAAATACTTCCCTGCTAATAATCTGCACTGTAACTTGAAGCAAAAATGCAAGACTTAATCTTAACACACTGTCTTAATACACTGATGGAGGCTATCTTGAATACAGCTTATGGCTGCTAATGTGAAAGTACAGAACGCGGTAGTGAAACTGCCGTGGGGATAATTTGGCCTGCAAAGCCCCCCAAAATAGAAGAGTATTAGAAAAAGCTGTGGACAGCCCATCTTTGGAAGAGCAGTGCTTCAGCCTCTGTAAGAAGCTTTTTGTAACAAACCGTAACTATGCAGCAAATAAGAGGCTACCAGGAGTGCTCAGCTCCAAAAAACAAAAACCAAAAAAAAAACCCCCAAACCCCTCTTGCTTGCCAAGAATATTGACTGTCATCTTAAAGCTGTCTTATTTTCTTGTTCCTTTTGCTGAGCCTTGCCCTGGGGATGTGACTGGAGAGTTACCTGTCCCAGTAGTGACAGAGGTTAACGCAGCAGAGCGAGGAGGGAGGAACACGAAGCTCTTTCCTCTCAAAATTAAAT